TAAACAAAGTCTTGCTTTTTTTTTTTGCTTGTTCCCACAATTCTTGTCTTTGCTCCAATACCAAGGGCTTCATTGCATATTGTGAAGAAGCTGACTGAACTGACAGCATTATGCACAGAAGAAAAAGCAAATTCTTAATGCCATCTGTGGTGACATTGACTTTTTTGCTTTATGTGTCTAGCATATCTGTTTCAGAATTAGATGCTTGTTTTCAAGTAGGGAGAAATTAAGTGAAGATTTTATGTGATATGGTTCCCAGCATTTTTATTTCAGGGAAGTGCAAAACTCTTTTGTCTCTTTCTGGTTCCAGTTGGTGGACAAGAAAAGGTCAAGCCTTAGACCCCTGCATTTGGGGAGCCTCAGAGCTTGGTTATTTCCCCTCTCCTCTTTAACATCTAAATGAAAATATTGCATGAGGTCATCTGACAGCATGGGGTGTGGTGTTGTCAGTATGCTGAGGATACCCAGTTATACATTTCTTCTCTGGGCCAGGCAAGAAATGCTGTTATGGTGCTGTCAAAGTCCCTAGAGGCTGTAATAGTCTTCATGGGCTCAACCGGGGTGGGATTCTACTGGTTCGCACCTATTCGCTAGAACTGGTTGTTAACATTCTAAGCAGTTCAGAGAACCAGTTGTTAGAAGAAATTACTGGCCTAATCCTGTAAGGAGGGCAGGAAGGAAACATTCTGGTGTTGCTTACAGAAACTGCCTCTCCATTAACCCTTATTACATTCTTGGCAGGACTAGACTTCCTGTCTCAGTAATATCTCTGGAGTTTTTCTCCCCTCCTTTGCTGGTACTTTGCTTGTGTGGAGTGACCATTCGAAGTTACAGTGGCACTGAACAAAGTGACTTATGACCATTTTTCACACAACTTGCAGCATCCCCACAGTCATGAGAGGCCAGGCGAGGAGATGTGTGCCTCAATGTGAGTGATGTTGAGTTGGCCACACCCAGCCAATCACATTACCACCAAGCCACACCCACCAACTAAGCCACGCCCACAGAACCGGTTGTTAAAAAAATTGAATCCCACCCCTGGGCTCAACCCTTGTAAGATGGAGTGGCTCTAGGTTTTTGGCCCCTCAAACGATGGTGACTTCAGTCAATCAGAATAGAGTTGGAAGGGAACTTTGAGATCTTCTAGTCCAACCCCCTGCTCAAGCAGGAGACCCTATATCATTTCAGATAGGTGTCTGTCCAGTCTTTTCTTAAACACCTCCAGCGATGAAGCCCCTACAACTTTTTTTGGGGGGGGGGATTTTATTTGGGTTTTCACAAAAGAAAAAAGATAATACAAATAAAACATCTTTTTTTGAAAATAGCATGGTCCCAGGTTACACTTCTTCATACAGACACAAACTCAATTCCATGCTCACTTTTATGTTCTATTCCATATCTTATTACTGTTTTACATTTTCTACATAGTTTTTCTCCTCTCTTAAGTTTCTCAATTTTATTTTAATTATCTCAGTTCAAATCATTATATTTATACCTTTGTCTGTCCTGTTTCAATTTCATATTTTCTCATTAAACAAATTTTCTCCTGTAGTTACTAATTGGAGTATGACACCTTTATATCTTTTGATTTTATCCATTCAACTCTTATTTAAGCTTCAATGTATACCTTATGTATTCAATATAATACATAACTTCCAATTGAATTCTGCTTGGTACATTCTTAAAATACACACTATATTCTTATATTCTCTAGCTAAGAATATCTGGCTGTCTACCAGATAAGATATGGTAGGCACACTCTAGATCAGGGGTGTCAAAACTGGCGGCCCATGGGTTGGATGCGTCATGTGCAGGCCACGCCCACTCCAGCTTCTCGAATGGGAAAACGTGAAACATTTGTGACGGCAACATGACTCTGTGAGTTTGATCCCCCTGCTCCAGATCCTTTCCCTGAAATCCTTCCACTTAATAGGACCTCAGGCGGGTGCCTCTACTATGGCTATCCCTAACCTAGGGAATACTCTCCACCCAACAATTCAAGCCCCTCCCCATTTTAGCTTTTGGGAAGGCCAGCAAGATCTAGCTTTTTACTCAGGATAGGACAGAAAGAATGAAACCAGGGTCATTGTAGCTTACTGAGCAGCATCTTAAGGAGATAATTAAAGCTTTAATTTTTGTGTGATCTTTTCACTGTTTTATGGCTTTTTATGGTTATGTTGTGAGCTGCCCAGAGTTGTTTAAGATAGATGGCCATGTGAACCTTTTAAATAAATTAAAAATATCAGAGGCAAATAGGAAGTAGCACAAGGTATACATAAACTTTTATTTCTTGGTAACTTAAGGGTTATTGCTTCTAGGCCAAGTGTCCTTAATTCTGAAAATAAATATAAGTTGCCATAAATCAATATGAGGTAATATTCTCTAAAGACAAAAAATGAGTATTTGTTGATTGTTGTCTGGAATGAATTATTCCAGTATCTTAATATAGCAATCTGACCCAGTTCTTAGGTAACTTGCCAAAATCAAAGCTTGAAAGTTTTGTATGAATTCTGTGTTTTCATAGCTTGTTCAGGAATCTTCCATGATTAAGTCTCTTGTCCTCCTTTCTCATCTACCCGTAATAAAACCAAAAATAAGGGTTGTCTAATGCTCTCACAATGGAAGCAAGTTTTCTGTATTAAAAAGTTTTCCAGTTTTTATGTGATTTTTTTTATTCTTAGTGTGGACTTCTCAAAAAGAGTTGGATAAGCAAACACTGTCATTTACTATATACTTATCTTTTGTAGTATTCAGTTATATGAGAGATTAGGTATATTGATCTGAATCTTTAATAAACTTTAAAGTGGGAGAAGCTAAATAACAGAATATAAGATTATGCTAGTTAATTGCTGGAGTTATTTGAATAAAGCTCAAAAATGAATTTCCCTTCTGAGAATCTAGATATCACTAAAGTAATGAGATTTGAGTTTCTTTTTCTTAGTTTCAATGGGAACCAATAAAAAACAACTTCCAAGGGGTAAATTGTTAATACTGTCAGAGCAAGAACACAGAATATTGGTAACATAATGGATTCAGACTACTGCTTGAAAATCAGATTTGAAGAATTTATGACAATAAAGAGACCTGCTGATTATCCAAATTGAAATGAAGATTATGTACGGAGGAGAATGAAATATATATTGTAATGGCTTGTAATAATATCACTCATTAACAACTGGTAATGCCATTATTCAACTTTCCAGCAATGTTGTTCTAGCCACCTACTCCTTCTGGAGGAAGGAGAGTTAAAAAAAAAAAAAGTTACTCCTTGGGGGAAAGAGGGAAGAGATAAAATAGAAAAGACGTTTTGAACTTGAAACAAACCATTTCATTCTGGAACTTCTACCACACTCATGCTTTGGCTGTAGTTTCAGTCGAAAGAAAACCCAGAGTGAAGTTAAATTGATTTTTTGGGGTAACTAAGGTTAGGTTGGCATCTGTCACCCCTCTCCCACCTCTTCTGCCCAGCCTGAATGCCTGCCTGCTTGCCCTTGAGCTCCCTGGCACCTTCCTTTCCTCTGTCCTCACCCTGTTATCAGCCACCATGGCCACTGCCAAGGTCCATAACTCTGCCCAGATGAATTGACTTTGTTTTGCCTTTTCCCCCACCACAGACCCGGCTGTCCAGAACACCCAGGTTTGAGTCTAGACTACGAAAAAACATATAAAAAAACCGAGGCCCCAAAATACACATTTCAGGGGCTCTAGGTGCTCTGAGCTTGGTTGTTTCCTTGCAGATGTTTCATTACTCAAACTAGTAATCCGTAGCAGTGTGATGCTGTTACCTACTCTGGGGAGCAAAACATCTGCAAGCAAACAACCAAGCCCAGAGATCACCTAGGACCCCTGAAATATGTGTGTTTGAGGGCTTTGCTTTTTTTTTTTTTTTTCGTAGTGTAGACTCAAACCTGGGTGTTCTGGACACGTCAAGCCTTAGTTACAAATATTCTCCTTTATTTTGAACACAGATTGTTTCAAAAGAATTTTTCCTGCACTGAGTCGCTTATGCAAAGAATATGCTAGGTACTGCTCATATGCAATCTCAGTCTGGTCTGAGAGATCATTTCTTAATCATAATATGCTTTGAATTTCTTATTC